CCTTTGTGTCTGCGGTGCCGCGCGAAGGCCTTTCAGTTTCTGTACTTTTATTGCGTGCAATTCACCTGGCTGTTTACGACGAAATTGTAAAGGACGCTCTTACGTGCTTAGGAGAAACACCAGCTCGCAAAAAAATCGTCGCTACTGATTCTCTTATGTTTTGTGTTTCGGGATCTTAATGTTCCTATTGGCGTTGACTGGTCGAGAGAAGTGGAAAATAAACAGCCGGACAACGCGTTCTAGAATTTGATCGATTCCGAAGATGCACGGATTGACAAAGATAAAATACGCAAGTGGTATAATCTATACGAAACGAATAACAGCCGTAAACAGTTGTAAAATTAGATTCGTTAATCTTTGTAATGAATCTTCATTATCCGTGTATCACGTTGTGCATTACGTTAAGAATTCTAAATTCAAATTAGCGCTTTTCAATTCTGATTGACAAATTGTGCTTGGTTTTGTCCTCTTCGGTTTCAATGTGTAAAATATGCTCCTTCTCGTAATGTGATCTAAATATACTGGCTCGTGCGAACATTGGAACGCTTGTTCTGCGAAGATATTATACGTGTCACGTGAAATACGTGAAATTTAAAATTTCAACAGTATGATAATGAAATTGCGAGATATAGTTAATGCAAGTATACGCTTCCTTTTACTCCTCTGATTCATTGTGCTTTAAAGTAAAAGAATATGTGACATATTTCATTTCTGTGTATAGTTATGTAAATTTCAAATATTAATAATTTAGTAAATTATATAATTTAAAATTATTCCGATTTATCGTTCCGATACATCTCATGAATTTTGAAGACGTTCAAATACGAAAAGAAAAGATAATAAATGATCTTGATTTCGAATTATATCTTATATATAATGTAACCTGTATTATATAAAATATTTTGACATTTTATTAATACTATGACAAAATCTGTTTATTAAGATCACGTTGGCCAAGTTTGAAACAAATTTAAAAATTTATATAGAAATTACTGTACATGGAAATGTATTTAATGCAACTTTTGCAACGATCATCAGTCAATTAAATAGTCAATTATTCATTGCGTCATATTTAATCTATAAAATATGTGGAGTCATTTAATATTCATTAGTATGTTCAAATGGCGGCCCATACTATATCTTATTAAGTTTCTAGCATTACAACATGAGAAAAATTGCAATTTCGAATCACGTACGTACTTTGTACATAGAATCAAAGGAAATGAAAGCTATGAAAAAATGAAAACTAATAATTTGACATGTTCAATACTGTTTGGACTATAAAAAGTTAATACGTAACATTAGTAGAAATGAAATGAAATACTTTAACCCATTGACACACATTTCATTTTCACAGACTGTTTTGGACGCAAATATATATATAAAATTTCAGACATTAGATTCCTTTTCAAATACAGAACTACCATCTCTCGAGAATGTGTGATCAGATTCGTTTTTGTTATTTTAGCAAAAGCACATACAATGGCGACATTATTTGCATCAATGTGCTAGGATGAAAAATTAGCGAAGATTGGAATTACATATCTGATAATTGTTGTTTCCAACGTAACATTTCAAGGTAATGAAATTACATTGTGCCTTGATAATCTTACATATAATTGCATTATCCGTCAATGTTTCCGTTTGATTACTTTTGTACGTGACGATACACAAAGCATACAAACGATTCTGAGCCAAGTAAAATTATTAGAGATTCCTATTTTATTACTGTAATTAATATTTTATTATATAATTATAGTACGTACGTAATAACGCATACGTTAAAAATATATGATAAAAATATGTTAACGTATCCAAGTTTTTATTTTGCGTGGTTATCGATGCATAACAAGAATATGGCACGTTACCTAATTTCTGAAACAAAGAGCATTGGTTATAAGCGAAAAGGAACTGTCTGCGATTAGAACATGTTAATTTATTAGTTTCTTTATATCAAAACGGACGATTGTTTGATGAAATCTTGTCTGAAATCTGAAATTGTTTCTTTTTATTTTTACCTACAATGCGGAGTATTTTGTAATTATTTCGGAGATTATATGCACGTGGATTTGAATATCTCCTTACACGTTGATAATGATAGAAAATACAACTTGAATGTTATGTTAATATGTTTGTGATACTGTGTATTGTAAATTTTAACGTATATGTACCCGTGAATGTATCCGCGTTTTAAAAACTATACGGCATAATATATTCATATTGTACATTAACATAAAGTTAAATATTAATAATGTATTCATTAAATAACATTAACATATTCATTACACGTATATACGTGTATCTTTAATACAAAATCACGTTGATTTCGATTTAACAAAACTCTTGAAAATGCATTGTTCAGTTGTCCATGAATCAGCAGATTTTTATGAAAAATATTCAACACTGTTATGTGAGGAAGGACACAGACAAAAGAAAATGCATTTCTCATTATTTACAAGGTAGAAAATTTATTACGCATTTATTACGCATTGTCGTCAAAAAAAAACACAAGCTGAAGCGAGGAAAGTGAAATTGATGCTTTAATGTGTGAGAAAATCGTAAATTTTCAATTGTTCATTTTACATATGAAATAAGATCAAGTGCGTAATTTAGAAAATATTAAGCAGCACGTCAATCCGAATTTACGAAATACCATTATATTCAATGCAATTGTAAATCGATGCATTCTATTAGCATAAATAAATGATACGAAGAATAATGCTTCGATCGTGCGACTAGAAGGTTCGTTACAGAGAATGTTCTTCATTAAACGATTACAAATTGTTATTGAATTAATAAATAAATAATATAAAAGTTACTGCGTCCCATCGGTCGTACACATCACAATAACCTATTGCAAAATTTACAAAGAAACTACAATAGGCAGGAACTACACATTATGTATATATTAAATATATTGTAATGTAGGAATTAAATAAACTGACAATAAAAATACACTGGTTATACATAACAAATAGAAAATTGAAAGATTAACACAGAAAAACATTAAATGCTCTTTTATCTCAAAAGCGCGATAAATCGAAGAAAGAAATTTCCTTTTAAGATTCTCTTTTTGCCTTGATGTTAAATCATGATTTAAATATGTTGTCGATAGTGACTCAAAGTGACGCGATAGCGACGCAAACTGACAAACTAAACTAAACTTAGACACTTTGATCGGCAATGTAGAAGAAAAAAAGAAAATCTTTAACGATGGGCCTTGATAGGTACGATCCGGATACTCACTAACAACAAGGTATCGCAACATGCGTAATTTTTTTGCATGAATCGCCACATTGTGCACCCTAGATAGCGAGCTTAACAATAGTTCTCGCCGCAGCCTTCAAAAGCGAGAGAAGGTTGGACCGTGAAACGCAATGAAAAACAGCAATATAACGCGGGAAACGCTAAATGTTAAGTTGCCTGATCGAAATTTCCATGTGTCAAATCACCGTAATTACTCGACCTAATTCTTTCGTGGCGATGAGCGCGACACGGTGCAGACAAAAAAAAGAAAAAAGAGAGGAAGAAAAGGAAAAGGAAAATAAATAAACTCCGATCGCGAACGCAACCGAGCAAAATGCATTCTTCAGAGCTGAACGCGCGTCGCGAATTGTGCAAATTGCATAAGACGTATGAAGTAATCGGGTACGAACAAAATGTCAACATCGGTGTTACGCGAATGAAAAATTTTTTATTGTGATATATTCACGTAGAAATGTGACATAAAACGTCGTTAAATGTAATCGAAAATATCGATGCTTCCCACGAAAGTATTTGAACATTTATAGAACATCTTATGAATAAATTATCTGGGTTGCGTTCAAACATTTTGAAACTTCTCATCAGCACTGTAGAGATCCGATGTATCAGAATTGTATTGAAATGAATCTGCAAAACGTATGTAGAATTTACAAGATATTCAATGCAAGTATTTCGCACATGTTATAAAAGTATTTTAACAGCCAATTATCTATTGTATTGATAAGCCTCAATATGTATTTAATGGGATCATATTTAACATGCACGTTATGTACTAATTATATTGGCAATAAATATCTTTTAATCTCTATATACATTTCCAGATTGGTTTCAAATTATGCTAATATGTGGTAATGAAATTTCAAAATATTTTATATGCACGACAAACAATAGTGTAAGTAAACATAATAATATATACCGATAATACGTGGAAAATTCTATGTTAATTGATGTTTATTTTTAAAATGATAAATAATCATATTCTTTCGTAATTCTGTTAAATAAATGTTCAAATATTTCCTATAGTAATTCCTATAGTAATTCTTCTACCGTCATTTTTTATAAAGTAACGTATAGCACCTACTACAATATCTGGCGAGCAAAACAATTTTCTACTATAAATTTCATTTTTTTAAACAGCATTTAGAAAAATATGAATTTGCATAAATATCCGCAATGTAATATTAAAAATATTTCAATTTCGTAGGATTCTAGAATTTAGGGTGGGACATTCAAATTTTCCTTTCGTACCCTGGCCATTAAAACACAAAAAAATTGATTGAAAAGAATTGCGAAATGTTGCGTTGAACTTTGATAGGTTAACTAGCGGATTTTTACCACGGCACGGTTGTTGCGTAGAATAACACTGTTCAAAGAAGTAATACTCGGCGAGAAACAATGAAATCTATCGTTAATCTAATTTACGAACATCTGTTCATCGTATATACTCACTAGTAATTTCTTGAAAAGCAGTTGACTATCGATGACTGGCGACGCACGAACGCGGTTTGATACAAAGCGACGTAAAAGCTCGAGGGAAACAGTCCGCGAGGAATGCCACCGTCGCATTGAATCAGAGGTGAGCTTAAATAAAAATGGGCAGCAAGCATCTCTCATTTGAATTTCTTTATGAAATCTCTTTATAGACAGCAAGGAGTCAACAATCTTCTTAATATATGCCGAAGGGGAAGTTTCACGCAGCTGTTGCAATTGTCAGAAATGGTAATGGAAATGGAAAGAGCATTAAAAGTAGGTATAAAGTCCTGCTTCAACGAGGTGGAAAGAAAGTAATTTAAATAACAGAAATAAATTGGCGTATTTAACGAGGCAATAAACCATCGCCGTTGTTTGTATCCGTGGACACGTAACCTTTGGAGAATGGCATTAAAAGAAACCCAAACATATTGAGAGGAACGATGATCGCCAAGTGACATCATCGAGATAAAATGAAGCAAGAACCGCCGCGCAGAAAATCTATAAATGTATCGAACGAGAATGTTCGGTCAATGAGGATGCGGAAGGAAGGCTAATGATCCAGCTAATCACCAGCGTGTCGTCGAAGCAGGAGAAAAAAAGATAAATCACAAAGGTTGCCTGGAGTGCAGGCTGTTCTTTTGGAGAGACGGGAGAGCGACGTGGTTCTGCGTCGTGGCGACATCTACGTGGAGGAGCGGTACAAGATTGGCTGGCAGTTCGCAGGCGCATTTCCCGGTGCATTCTCTCGTTCCAGCCTCGCTGCGAGCGGGGAGCGTCGCGTCGTCATTCCTTCCCCGTGATCCATCGACGACAGACACCATTCTTTTTTCTCTTCATACAGCCTCCCTCGTTCTCTTTCCTCGTTGTTATTAGCGAGCGAGTAGCAACTAGTGTGTAACGCATTCGCTAGCGTGAAAACGATTACTCTGCGAATCCTTTCGAAACGACGCAACAGGCATCGTTCGTTTCCTCTTTGTCTCGTCTTCTTCCTTCTGTCTTCGTCTGTTTTCCTCTTCCACTCCGTTTCCGCTGTCTGCAAGGTTACGTTGCTAGTTCTCATCTCTTCTCTTCCCCCACTCTTCCCCAGGCTTCTTCAGCTCTCGGCTTCCACCGATACCCCTTCCGTCCGTCGACCGATAAACGTACCTATCACTGTCACGGTCGAAGAAAGAAGAGGTCGGGGTCCGCAGTACACCAGCCATTTCACAGGCGTCGTCTGCTTTCTCCTCGCTTCCGATAGCCCTGACGGCGGATTTTCCGTTCACGGTCCGGCTTGCAGTGCGTCGATCATGTCGCTGATCGCCAACTGTTTTCGACGGCTCACCGAGACACCGGCTAAAAACCAGGTAAACAAAGAATCGCTACCGATCAGCGCGACCCGGGCGAAGCATGCACGAGCTTCGTGCGCCGGTCGCGCGTGCTGCTCGTACCTGTAACTAATGTTTCATTGGTGGAACGCGCTCTCTTTGTTTTTCTTTTTTTTTTAACAATTTTTTCGCGATACCGTATCTCTTCTACGCGCAGATAATATTATTTATTAATTGGAGTATGTATAAACAAAGCCGGTCTTTGTGGTACAAAGAGCATCGATGTTTTCAATTTTTTTTTTTTTTTTTTT